GTAGTCGTAGTCGTAGTCGTAGTCGTAGTCGTAGTTCGTAGTCGTAGTCGTAGTCGTAGTTAGTCGTAGTCGTAGTCGTAGTCGTAGTCGTAGTCGTAGTAGTAGTAGTAGTAGTAGTAGTAGTAGTAGTAGTAGTAGTAGTAGTAGCAGTAGCAGTAGCAGTAGTAGTAGTAGCAATAATAGTAGTATCAGTATTATTATTATTATCAGTATTGTCAGTATTATGTTTCTATGTATAGTAGTTTCCGTGTTGGCAGTATTCATATTATGATGCATTGTCTTACTAGGTCTCTTCGCATCATAGTTAACATGAATGCTGGTGTGTACTTCAATCGTTGTTGCTACGATTCGAATTGGTGTTACGAATTCTTAGTAATAGGTTGTGTTATTCTTATGGTTGTTATTACCCGTCTTGATATTATGATGCTTATGTCTTTTCTGAATACTATCATTATTCTTATACTTCTTCGTATTGTTCTTTCAGCGCGTCCCCTGGCACCCTCTCGCCCGCGCACACGCCTCGGGCCACGATGCGCCACCCCCCCGCTTCGTGGATCCCATCTTCGGTGCGCCCGGCAGATGTGCGGATTCTACAATTCAGCCGCGATGCAGTGCGTATCCACCGCCGCGTTGCTCTCGGGGGCTCGGTGGGCGGCGGCGGCGGATAGCATCTGGGTCACCCCCAGCGGGGGCAGCATCTAGGTGGCATGGTTGAGGCCACGACCCCCCCACCGTGAGCTTCTCGGCGGGGAGCCTGGGGGGGGGGAATGGGAAGGCCTCGGGCTTTCTGAGAAGTGTTCCCAGCCTTCCCCGAAGACAAAGAAAACTTTTCAGAAGGCCAGGGAGCTTCTGAGAAGCCCTGCCGCCTTCTGAGAGGGCTTTCTCCCTCTCACTTCCCCCTCTCGGCGCGCCGCCGAGCTTCACTTCTGATATGTTTTCTCTGGAATTGGCCACGCAGCGATGGGTTGCGGCCAGGCATCCAGGGCACCCGCTGGAGCGCGGAGTTACCGCCCATCGCGCCCCGGGGTCGAAGCCAGAGCGGTTGCCCTTCCTCAAGGGGGCGGCGCGCGAGCGCGAAGATGTGCCCGCGTCGCGCGTTGCAGAGGCGCGATGCGCGAAGTGAGGTGACCGGGGTGAGGGAAAAAATTAAGCAACATTCCCCGGTCCCCCTGCAATTCAAAGTTGCCACGTGTACGAATCACTGGTCCGACACCCAAACTCGGGAGATCCGAGCCCAACATTGCATTCGGGGGGAGAAGGGGGGGAGCTCACACCATATGCTATACGTGAGTGTTGCTTAATTGTTTCCGACACCTGCCTAGAAGCCTGGCACACGTTGGCTTACATGCAAGTGTGGCGGGTATGGGCTACAGTCAAATACAATCCAACAGGATCACAAGGATGCATCACTTCCCAAGGGTGCCCTTGCATCCTCGCCTCTCGGCCCATCCTGACCCTCAGCCGTTGGCTATGGGCTCCCGCTGTCAGCATCAGCTTGCGCGTCCATGGGCCTCGCGTCCTTACCGCGCATCCTGATAACCTGCTCTCGCTGCATCTATGGGTCACCCGCGGGGGCGCGAAAAGATAACCGCGCGCCGCGGTCGGGGCCAGGGCGGCTGCGCGACTTCTACAGAAGGGGGGGCGGCACCTGGGCGTGAGAGAGCGCGAAGATAACCGCGCGCCGCGCAGCGCGGGACGCGGTGCGCGAAGTCACGTGACGTACAGTGGAGACCCTTGCCAAGAAGCACCCTGCGTGCCTCCAGGGTGCCCTTGGTTTCCTGGGTTTCGATGGTTCTCTGGGGATGGAAAGCGTGACGCTGCCACGCCATACATCAGGGGACGTCCTGGGGTCTCAGGGTTGGGTTTCTCGTGGAGGGTTTCTTGGGCCACTGTGGGTCTCACCACATGTCACGCCCGCGCGCGCACGCACTGGGCGGCCGCGGCACAGCGCGGCGGCTGATGCGCAGGAGGGGGGACACCACGCCGCGCCGCCCCCAAAGCTCGAGCCCAAGGCTCCTGGGGTGTGCGAGGGCCGCGGCCTTGCCGTCCCCTTCGCCGCGCTTGGCGCGCTCGACAGAGAGGGGGGGAGCGAAGGGGGAGGAGGAGGAGGAGGAGGAGGAGGAGGAGGAGGAGGAGGAGGCGGAGGCGGAGGAGGAGTCGAGGAGGCGAGGAGGAGGATGAGGAGGGTGGAGGAGGAGGAGGAGGAGGAGGAGGAGGATGCAAAGAGGGGGGAAGCGAAGGGGAGGAGAAGGAGGAGGAGGAGGAGGAGGAGGAGGAGGAAGGCCGCAGACCTGCCGTCCTCTCCTCATGGCTGACGTGCTCCAGCGGAGAGGGGGGCAGCGAAGAGGAGGAGGAGGAGGAGGAGGAGGAGGAGGAGGGGGAGGGGAGGCGGGGGCGGAGGAGGAGGAGGAGGAGGAGGAGGAGGAGGAGGAGGAGGAAGAGGGGCGGCCCGAGGACGAGAAGAGAGAAGCTTGGGGGGTCGCCTATCCGACGAGAATGTTTTGCTCCTGGGCAGGGGTGACGAGCCCTGCCTGACGAGAATGTTTTGCTCCTGGGCAGGGGTGACGAGCCCTGCCTGGGCCCACGCAGGCTCCCGCCTGGAGCAAAACTGAAGGTGAAGGGAGAGGGAGGAGGGCCAGGATCGGGAGGGGGGGAAGGGGGAGGAGGAGGAGGATGAGGAGGAGAGGAGGAGGAGGAGGAGAGGAGAGGAAGGAGGAGGAGGGAGGAGGAGGAGGGGAGGAGGAGGAGGAGGAGAAGGGCGAGGAGGAGGAGGAGAGGAGGAGGAGTAGGGAGGAGGAGGAGGAGGAGAAGGGGAGGAGGACGAGCGTGCGCAGACTCGGGACGCGCCAGCGAGGCGACAGCGCGCGTTCCCGTCCCGGGTCCCGGGCTGCTTTGCTCCAGGCTGGGGCCCTGGAGGGCCGCCGTGGCCGGACGGGGCCGCCCGCGCATCCGTGGGGCCAGCGGTCTGGCCGCAGGCGCGCGTGATCGTCGAGGGGGCGCTCGGCCGCTCCCGGCCCCCTCTGCCCTCCTCCCCTCCCCCGCCCAGGGGAGGGAAAGGCACCCATGCCGCTACAGACGGCCCAGACTCCTCCTCCTCCTCCTCCTTCCTCCTCCTCCTCCTCCTCCTCCTCCTCCTCCTCCTCCTCCTCCTCCTCCGGTCGACCCTGCCAAATCAAGGGTATCCTTGTGTCCTGTGTCTCGCGACCCATGCTTCCTGCATTCCTGTGGCAGCGTGGCCCTCGGAAGGGTCTTGTGTCCTCTCGCGTGTCCTGTGCAATCGAGTCCGACTGTACCCTTCCCTCGTCTTCCCCTGTTTGGGCTTCCTGGGAGGCCCTCGGCGCCACCGCTGGAATCGCCTCCAAAACCCGGTCAGAACGCACACCGGGAGAGGTCCAGGGAGCAGCGGTATCGCTACGTTTTGGTTCCCTCTCCCCCCAGCTGCCCTTGCATCCCCCGTCAGTATCGTTTGACCGACCATAACCGACCCTCATCCCCATCCCCATCCCCATTCAGGCCCCCACCATCTCAGCACCCCAGTTGGGGATACTCCCCTCGAGGCCCGAAGGGAACAGCCTGCATCTCCATCTAGGGGGATAGATCGGGCCATGCCACGCCTATGGGGGCTCGGTTAAACGATGCTCACCCCTTCTTCCTTCCCCCGCCCTTGCCTCCAGAATGCGCCGTCCTCGGTGTCCTTCCCGGCCTTGCGCGGTACGAAAAGGCCGTCCTGGGAGGCGGTCGAGCGGCACAGCACGAGTCAGCTGTTGGACGCGTGAGTGGCCTACGACAGCATCTCTGTTTTTCTCACCGCGGCAGCTGGGAAGCCGCGCCAGCACTGCAGCCGATGTGCCGCAGAGGCACGCCGCTGCAGGTTGCCTCACGCCCCCTCCTCACAAGTCCCTACACGCCCGCACACAGCCCATGGGCCTGCCATCCAGGCGAGCTCCTTGTCTTGAACATGAGCTGCGTCGCGTCTCGCAAGCTTCGGGGAACACAGAGAGACAGGACAACAAAGTTCAGGAGGGAAAAAACACACAGACACAGTTCATCTTCGACTCCCAGGAAAATATGGGAAAATATGGGAATTGGGCGGGAAGGCAAAAGCCCAGAAAATATGTCAAAATATGGGGAATCATTTTAGTTGTGTGTATTTATTTGTGTGTCCTTGGGCCCCTTGAACAGTTTGAGGAAGTGTCCAGCGAAATCCTCGCGTTGTGAAGGAGTCGCCCTCGACCCGGCTATCTCTTTTACACAATTTGGCACGTTGGGCAATACGTGTCAGATAGCCCCAAGGAGCAACCTCATTGTAAAGAGGAGTCGCCCTCCAGGCGTGTAATTGCTGCACATGTGTAATTTCGCTTTGCTCATACTGCGCCAAGACAGTTTGAAGCGAGAGCCCGTTCTTGAAAAGGAGAGCCGCCCTCCATCCTTCCCCAAGCAGCGCTTGCACTCGGGGTGCTCAGTGGTTTTTCTCTCGAACTGGCCTGGTGTGGCGCTCCGGCGGCTATGTACGCGGCCGCCGTCGCCGCCTCGTCGCCGTCCATCGTCTGCGCCGGTGTGCCGCTCCGGCGGCCGCTTCGTCGCCGCCGCGTCGCCGCTGCGTCGCCGCCCGTCGTCTGGGCCGGCGTGGCGCGGTCTGGCGGCTGTGTGCAGTCGACGTCGCCTCTCCGACGCCGCCCCCGTCGCCGCCCCCGTCGCCGCACGCCGCCTCTTCTGGGCCGGCGCGGCGGTCTGGCGGCAGTGTTGTCGCCGCCGCCGCCCCGTGGCCACCTCGCCGGCGCCCGCCGCCGCCGATGGATGGCACCAAATGGAGTTGAACG